TTATAAGTAAGCAGTTCTAAGCGAGTGAAGATCTCTTAGATCGTGAATTGGGATTGGCAAAGTTTGGTGGATTAGTTATTTTCTGTGAGATAGCTATGATCATCAGTATTTGTAAGCTGTAGTTTTTTTGCACTTTTAGATTTTTAATTGCTAAAAAGGCGTATTTATCTAGAAAAAGTTAATGTAGCAAGAAAAAATGGGTAACTTAGAGGGAGTAGTGACACAACCTGTAACCAGTAAACCTATACAGCGAACGCGCATTCTTGCTACTGAATAGTTCTTGTTATTCGATGTTACAGGAGGACGTGAATGCGGTTGATCGTACCATCCAAGAGAGTAGCAATGAGATACGGAAGCGGAGTGCCGAAATTGTCCGTTATCAAAAGTTGCAAAGGAACGCGAACACTGCCATCGACCATATCTCTTTATGCTTACCGGTGCTGGAGAATTATGCAAAATTAAACGAGCTTATGCTACATAAAAAGTAACTTTTCCAGCTTCATCTTGCTCTTATTTTTTGTTCCCAAATTCTTGCGGTGAATTTTCCCCGCAAAAAAGATGACGCACGTACCTGTTGAAAATGGTAGGTATGAGCGGAAAAAAATTTGGATTTCAGCTTAGAACGTCCTGCACCCAGTATCTCCTTGCATCCCACTAATATTAGGAGAACCGCAGAGCTCTTCCCTCCTCCTCCACCCCTCCCCCGAATCAGACGGAGCGAACTTTGGGATCAACAGGCACTGCATTATTTTTTACAGCACTTGGAAGAGTTGCCAGTTACATTGTTGAAGTTACACCTAATGTAATCATTCCATGTATAATTGTGGCTCAGCAGTTGTCTCTCTTTGTTCCTAGTTTATAAGCTTTTTGGACTCACGCCCCGTTCTGTTTATTCATGCTTGATTTTTGCTTTGAACATCTGCTGGTTCATCGTTTTGACCCTTCTGGGGGCGCTTTTCTTCGGCTTTGTTTCTAACTCACCGCAGTCTTTTAACCACTCTTCAAGCGCCTAATTAAATCCTCAGTCACTGATAGCTTTGCCAGCGCTCCTTGAGCATTGCGTGAGCACCACGCAACAGATAAACAGTTCAGTTTTTCGCTCTGGCACCCATTGTTTTAGCATCGTCCTTAATAAACTGAGATGCAGATTTTCTTTTAGCCTGTCTATATTAATTCATGGCAGTCTTTCTACAACTACTTTATTTGCCATTTCACAACTTAAGAAGAATTTTTGTAGGTATTACCAGGCGCTGAAAGTTCTTGAAGAACTAGAGCACACCTACATGGTCCATGTGGATAACTATCGCTTTACGCAGGCGCTCAAAAAGTCCCTTTTTCCCATTCGGGAACAGATCAAAGAGAAATCGTTCTCAGAATTCACTGATTTCCTTGAAAATATTCGGAAAGTTTCTGGTTAGTTTATTATTAGGATCAGATTTACTTCAACACTTTGTTACGGTGCATCTGAATTAGTGTGCTTTGATTCTGCTATAACTGGAATTCTTGTTGTAGGACGTATTGGGCAGCACGCATCCAAGTGCACCGCAGAACAGCATTCGTTCGGCATGACCGAAGCGGAACGT